TTCATTTGTTTGTGCGTTTTTCGATTTAATATTATCGATATGAGGTTAACTGACGTTTGCGACGAACCTATCTTTTTTCTGATTCACTTTTTTGGCTGTTCTTCAGTCATCAAACTGTTTCGTTTCTTCAAGTTCATTTTTTATAGCTATTTGTTTGGGTGTGTAAGTTCCTTTTTGCTTTCTCATTTTGACTAAACTAAAAAGAAAATATTACAAAGTTTTGTTTTTTTTTTTACTTATTAAATATTTTTGCTTACGATGCGATGACATATTTATGACAATATAAATTCTTATTTTTACTGCTAAACAATTCCTTTTTTTTTATTAAAGGTCATTTAATATATTCTATTAAAAGTCAGCTACTATATTGTACGTGTAATTTATTAAAAGGTTGTTAATGTGTTCTATTAAAAGTCAGCTACTATATATTACGTGTAAATGATTAAAAGTCAGTTAATATATTCAATTAAAAGTCAGCTGCTATATTTTACGTATAATTTATTAAAAGTCAGTTAATATGGGACCTAATGACCCTCCGAAGCATTGTTACACGAGATTTTATTAAGAAAAACATGGTAAATCTATTTTTTAGAAAAAAAAATTCATAGCAAAGACCCCACTTATTCTATTAGAACCGGCTACTATATTTTAAACCAAGGATTCGGTATCCAAACTTTGATCCTGATTTAGTATCAATTTCTGGATACACGACCTAAAATTTAGATCCGTGAACCAGACTTTTCCGAAAATTCGTAGAGTATAGCTTGAGGGCTTTCACTTCGCTTCCCTCAACTCCAGCCAATTAAACATATGAAAAACAAATCCTTATTTTAAAGCTTACAATAAAAGTATTGTTATCATGTTTACAGTGCCATAATTCCATAGATTCGCGCTAAATGTTATTCCATTAATTCTGGAATTTTTGATTATAAATGCTTAAAAGACATTCTAAATAATGTATCCGTGCAAGAAGCCTTTTTACGAAAGGATGTTGGCATAAATCGTTCGGAGAATCCCATAAAGGTTGATGATGTAAGCTTGAATAGATTCCGTTTTCTGGAGATAATGGAATAGAAGATTCCGATTCAAGATTCGGGCTTCTATTGTGTTCAAATTTC